GCACATTTCCAACCTATATGGAACAGCTCTATCTTGAATGAATTAAAGATTGTGTTTATTGTCCTTTTGTATTAAATATTTAAAAGGAAAAGTGACTAATTCAGAATAATGCATAAATCAGTTGCATAAAATACATGACTACAGAGTGCTAGAAGACAATTTGACAAAATCTTAAAGTCCTCCAGTGAAATCTTCCTGATTACACTACTTAGGATTTAAGATAGACTGGCTGTGTCCACTCCGTTAATTTTATATGTGTTTTATAAGTCAGAGCTATCTCATTTTTACATTAATCTTCAATTTTAAAAACTCTTACATAATTATTTTATGTACTCTTTTAAACAACTCTTTTTAATATACTTTCTTCATAAAATATATTCCTTCTCTCTCCAATAATGTATCTTTAAATATGTTTTATTCTTATGCAATTGCAAATGTAGTTAAATATGCACCCAGCGTCACATTGGTTTGAATCAAGAGTTGGTTACAGAATTCAGGAGCACATAATCCAAAGAACAATTGTGTTCTGGTCTGAGCAGAGATGGGCAATTTGAGGAGTTACACCTGCCAGATGCTCAGTGCCTTTTCCATCAAATTTTCAAGGTATAGGGGTACACTTGAGGTCTTTAAAAATGTGGCTGAGGCTGCATACATGAGTTGCCTTAATTCCTATGTCTGGAGATCTTGAATGATTCAGATAATAGGAAAGGTAAGAAAATTATCATGGCTGTAAAAGAATAATAATGGCTCATATCCGCTCCTGAGCTTTAGATATTATTATTCCTGGTGGTATGCCTTTTTCAAATGGTACTTCTTGAAGGTTCCATATAAGCCACAGGGTGCTACCTAATCAACCAAACCAGGCATCCTCTGATATCTCTGTCCCAACGAGAATGGAAGATCTTCTTGCATAACTAGCTGGATGTCTTCAGCTCCTATCCTTTCTCAATGTCAAGAGTTCCCACTGAAAAGTCTCAGGCAATATGAGAGAAAACATCCACTTTCCTGAATGTAGATGTTATTGCTGGTGGTATAGGTGCATTAGCCAACAAAGAAACTCATTATAGTACAAGTGTGAAACACAATAGCCAGTTGACTCAATTCTCTGTGTTTGCAAGCCTAGATGGCCATCTGTCTTAGTTGATTCCATTTGGATTCCTGCACTGAGCAGGGGTTGGACTCAGTGTCCTAAATGGTCTTTTCCAGCTCTTTTAGTCTATATTTGAGGATCTGGGTATCCAAATCTAAAATTATTCAAGATCTCCAGACACAGGAACTGAGATCACTTGAATTCATATTGCATCTTTTTAACCAGTGCTTTTCAGATGTATTAGGCCTATAACTCCCAGAAATCCCACCAACCTGTTCAATAAGCATGTTAGTTAGGAAAGTCTTACAGACTCAGGCTGGGGAAGGCTATCATATATATTATGCATATAGTGGGAATATTAATTATCTGTTGCATTTATTATACAAATACTTCTTTCAATAGATTTTCAATGCTAGCTGTACATTATTTGTACTGGAAATGTTTCTCTTAGTACTGTTTCTGGCTGCCAAATGAGAATTTCATGAGAAACTTAAATTTTACCATGTGGAAAATACCACCAATTTAAAAATCTAATATGAGAACAAAATATTGTTTCACTCCTTCCTGGTTATGCTTTAGAAAAGTAAATCAATTATTCAAAAATGTCTGAATGGTATGGTTTCATCTTGATATTTTCAAAGTATATTTTTACCTATCATTAAGAATCTCTTTGTCTCTGACACCCTTTAACTAGTTATTTTGTTATGTTTCAGTGCCCCATCAACCTTTCCGATATACAGTATTCCAAACTATGAGAAGAAAAGCCAGTATCAGCATAGTGTTAGAAATATACATCTTGTTTATAGTCAACATCCTGAGCTTTAAGCTGTATCTGCTAGTCTACAGCCAACCCCAGCTGTCATTTTAGAGCTATTTTCCATGTCGTTGCTAAAGATAACAACACTGTGATGGGATATCATCTCAACAAGATAGGGAAAAAAATGTGTAATGGTTTTGTCAACAACTAAAACATTTTATCTTTATTCCCAGGAGGAAACACAGCAAATTTGTCACTGTTTTTTGTTCACTGAAATAGGCAAGTAGAAAGTTACAGCATTCATCTATTTTTGATGTTGCAACACATTTTGGCACCCCTTTACAAGCCAATGGACTGGAAGTAAACCCTGAAAGTATAACACAGCCTGGAATGATTCCAGTATAAATGTCTAGAACTCTGTGAAATGACTTCTCAGACTGTGACAAATTATTCAACCCCTAATTGTAAGGGTGGACCCAACACACCAATCCAATTTGTTCAGCTTAGAGATTTTAAAAATATGAAACATATGGATTAACTATCCCTAAAGCTGAGGTACAGATATAGTTAAGGAAACTAGAGAAGCATATGTGTAAACCTCAGCCACTAAAAGAAAGATTCTCCCTCTTGGAACTCTCCTAGATATAACGCAGCCTACTTTTTATCTCTTGCTTCTAAAATAATTGGCAATGGGTTACCTTAGCTTGCTATTAGAAGAGTGATTTAGATTAGATGATCCATATACCTCCATGTACCTTTCCTGGCTTTCAATGTTCTCCACGATCTCTTAAACTAAGGTTGCTTGGCTGGTATATACCAATGATATCCCAGGCTGAAAAATTCTGTTAAAAATAAGACACTCTTATAAAGGAGGGGATAAGCCTCACAAGCAAACACTCAGTACACCAACTACAAAACAGAAGGAAAAAGCCTTGAGTTGTAGGCTTTGCTGCTATCCCTTGGTATTTTTAAATGTGCAAAACAGCAATTGTTGACCATATATATATAAGCACTGCCACTCAAATGTTTCCCTTAGCAAACACACAAAGAATGAATAGTAGATGAAGTAGGGGGAGTGCATAAGATCTGCAACCAATCTGGGCTCCATGACAATTTTGTAACACTCACTGTGCATTCATATCTTTTATTTGTTGCAGGAAACATTAGTGTAAACACATGAAACCTGATTGGAAAATGAAGCAAAGTGGTCTTTACAAGACCAGTAGACTTGTAGATTGAAAGGACAAAGTCAGAACATTGAAAGAGTCGTAATGAAGCCTCCCTTTAATTAATAGTACAACTTGGAAATACATTAGTTTATTCATGTGAGTTGTTTTGAATCTCTGCATCTGATGAGGACATCTCCGGAAGGCCTGTTAAGAGTCCCTCTTCTCTCTGAAATGAGGGAGACATGGATGAGCAACAGGCCTTCTTTGTGATGGTTCCCACACTTGGAACTCCTGACTTGCAGAACTCCATGAAGTTCCCTCCCACATCATTTTTAGAAAAAAATTAAAGACAGTTTTATTGCACCAGGCTTTAACCCTAGCTAAATGTAATGGATGCCCATCTTAGGGGAGGGTTGCTTTATTATACAGTGGATTTCGCATTGCAGTTGCTTTTGTCATTTTATTTGGTTGTTGTGTTCGTAATTTTAAATTCCTGCAACCCGCCCGGAGTCTTTTGTGTTGGGTGAGTGATTAAAAACTGTAAAATAAATAAATAAGTCACTAAGGAAGGGAGTGTGGCAACTGCTACCTTTTAATCCTGTATCAATGAATTAAGCAAGTCAATAAAAAACACTGTTCCTTCTCCAATCTGGTGCTCTCCAAACATCCTAGACTTCAGTTCACACAACCTCCAGATAGCTAATAAACTATACTAGAGGAGATTAAGGAAACCCCGTCCACCTGGAAGGCAGCAAGAGCAGGGGAAAGACCCCAAGTTTCTCTTCTAGTCTTTGAGAAACAGATTAGCCAACCTGCTCCAAACCTACCTCGCTGTCCCGGCTTCGGCACTGCTTTGTTCTGCCCCGAGGCTGCCGTTTCCACAGCGCCCTGCCTCTGAGGCTCCCGTCCTCCTCCCGCACCTGCTCTTCTTCTGCTTTGGGCTAATTAAAGCAAAGGTGCCTAAAGGGAGGTTTTCTACCCCCCCCCCCCCCCCCCCCCGGGTTCGCGCTCACGCTAAGAGCGGTGCTGAGGAAACTCTGCTCAGAGCTGGGGCTGCCGATCCTCCAAGAGCCGCTTCTTGGCTCCAGCTTCCAGGGACGAGCGAGCCCACGCTCTGCCTCGGCCCTTCTCCCCCCGCCTCCCTCCGCCTCGAGTCTTTGTGTGCGGAAATCAGGACGCCGAGTTTCCCACCGGGTACTGGAGCCCGTTCGCCTTTGGCGAGGCCGAAATGGAGCTGTACGGCAAGGTAGGAGCTCTTTTCCCTCTGTTTAAGGGGGGCGGGCGGTGTCCAGCATAGATGAAACCACCCGAATTTCCCACCACCACCGAGGGACTGCCTGGATAGGTCCCTGCTAAACCAAGGGACGCGCTGATCGCTGCTTGGCGGCGCCTTCCTACCCAATGAAGCGCCTTCCACCCGAAGGCGCCAGAAAGGAAGGAAACCCATTTGGGAACGGCGGTTCAATCCGGCTAGAAAGCGCGGGGGGTGGGCGAGGTCCGGTTCCTTCCACCCAGTCTGCGGAGACACCCCGGATTCTGGTTGCAGGCGTTTTCCCCCCCAATCCTCCCTCGAGGGAGCTCCTGCTTCCTACCAGGAATGCCCAGAAAGTTCGGCCAGCAGCAGCCCAAGCGAGGAGGACTTGCCCAACAGCTGGGAACCTACGAGCCGAGGAGACCCTTGTTTCCGTTTCCATGGAGCGATTACATTGGGGAGGGGGTGAAAGGGTGGAGCGAAAGGCGCGCTAGCGTTCCTGGGAGCCGTAGTTGGGGGTAAGGAGGATGCCCCTTCGATTAGGCTGCAGCCCTGGGCCGGCTCTGACTACAACTCCCACAGATCGTTGCGAAGGCTGCCTGGCGGGAGGGGACTACACGGTGGACAGCTCCCGTGCTGATCGGTCTGCGCTGGTTCCTCGGCGGAGCGGCGGCGGTGCGTGGCGTTGGCTGCTCTTGCTCCTGCCCTGCAGCCGGGCGTAGAGTCCGGCTTGGCTGTGGCTTGACTTGCTGGTTGGATCCAGCGGTAGTAAATTCGGAGGTGGAAGGAACCATAGGGGGAGAGAGAGGAAGACAAGTCGTGTGGTTGACAATGAGGCACGAAGCTCCTATGCAGGTTAGTAGCACGCCAAAGGGGAGCCAGGAATATTCCTAAAGGAACTCTGGGCGCGCACGTCCACACGATCGCGGGGAGAGGACAGCGGCTGTGAGGGAGGGGTGCGCGCGCACAAACAGGAACCTTTGGTTGCGTAATTCGGGGATATAATTTGCGAACAAGAGGGAGAGGAAAGGACGGACGATACCCAAGCAAACATCACGTGTTAATTCCCATCGCAAACATCGCGTGTCAGTTTTTCCCTTCTGTCTTCCCCAAACACTCTGATCGCTTCGCTTGTTCTTTTTGGCCGACTAAGGAGAGCGAGGCGTTAACTCAGAGATTACTTACCAGTAGGAATTCAGAGCATTGCGGGGTAAATGCAATCGGATTCAGCTGCCTCTCAGCTGACAACCCCGTTTGCAAAGGCTGGTTCAGGGCAAGAACTGAGCATCTTTAGTTAGCCTTTTAACACCATGGAGGAAATGGGCTTCTACTCTTATTCTTTGTACGTGGATCCTTCCTTCCTCCCTCCCTTTCCACATGAAGTCTCCAAATTCAGGTGGCCATCCTGTCACTGCCCAGGGAGTAACCCCTTAACATTTTAGGTCTAATTTCTGACTATATGCTGTGCAGGATGCAGTCAGTTGTACATGTACCCAGAAGGAAATCCTATTGTGCTAAATGAGTCTTACTCATAGGTAAGTATAGTTTTTGCTATCTTAATATTTCATCTGGTAATTAATGGACCTTTGACGAGCAGATGGATCTGCTGCCAGATCTTGGCTGCAGAAATCTGGATGACCACTAGATGGAAAAATAGTGTTAAGAGTTTCCATCATTTCATTGCTACTGTCTAGTAATTGTCTGGATTTTTGCAATCCAGCTGTGGTAGTCCTACTTAAGGCATATTAGAAATCAAGGAAGCAGCAACACTTTTGCATTTGAATTACTAAGTTTTCAAAGCATTGTCTTTCATCATAGGTACACTGAGCTAGGGAAAAAAATAAAATGTAATTACAAAGAAAAGGATAGCTGTTTTTAAAAGGGATGTTGTCAATCTGGAACCAAGAATAATAGCTTATTAAAATTGAGAAGAACTATTTTTATCCTCCCCCCCCCCCCCCCCCCCCGAAAGTCTTGTTTTACTTTCAAGCATAAAAGAATAAAGCTCCATTTTTGGAAAGGTACAAGGCTGAGTGTTTTTGTAGCCCAAAGATAAACTAAGTAATCAGAATTCAGATTGTGCTCCTATCTACACTCATTTGGAAGTAAAATCCACTGGGCTTAATGGGACTTCAGTGTAGACATGCATAGGGATGCTGTGTTAATTTCTGTATTTTTATTGTATGGCTTGTCTTAGTAGTTGTATCATAACTATTGACAAATATTGCTGTCTGGCATTAGAAATTTTGCCACCAGATTTATGAAATAGTATGAGCTACAAAATACTTACAAGATTTTAGCTTGGCAAATGTGTTTCCCTAGAGTCTGTTCATCTTAAGGTCAAAATTCCATTTTTTAACAGAATTATTTCTTATTCATTGTCACCCTACATAACATCTCTGTAGGGTATGTTTGACTTTGAAAGTTGAACTGCAATAATTCATTCAGATCGATTGCTCCTGTTATGGTACATGCTGAAATCTATTTACCCCAGAAGGAACTATAAATATATCCATCTGCAAGAATTAAACTCAAAAGAACATGACCTCTCTACAAGTGAATGCATATATAGTGAATCTTCATGTTGTTATTTAGGTACAACATGAAATTAATTAAATTATGAAATACAAAATTAAGGTATTAAAGAATTAGGCCCCTTCTTTAGCTGAATAAAATAAATATTACTGATATTTTCTTAGTAAAAATGAAAGTTGTAGGTTTATTTTGCTTCTAGATTAGTTATAAGAACTGCATCTGTTCAGAAAATACATTAATGTTGCAGTGTTCTTGAGTAAAGCCCTATGAAATTAGCATCTCATACAACAGCAATATGTTATATACATATTGTATAGTAATAAGAAAAAGGGCTCCTGAACTCAGATTTAGTTTTGAATAAACTTTGTAAGTTTGGGCTCCAAACAAAATTTTGGAGTCAAGCAAGAACATTGGCTTAAATGTATTATTTCACATGGTATTATCAATAAATCATCATCATCATCATCATCATAATCTGTCTATGCTCATGATGCTTTAAAAAATGTGGATGTTCCTGCTCTGTATGTCCTGTAGGCTTAAACAGACACATAAGAATAATTGAAAATGGAGGAGAGTGAAACAAGGTTAAGTAAAGAAGGATCATATCATCATTTAAATTACTCATAATTTGGTTAGCTGCAGTAAGTATTGGGATGAGACTGTCAAGCAAAGAGTCTTCCAGAAAAAAGACAGTTTAAGGAATGTTTTAAAGGAAATAAGGGAAATGGCCACAGAGAGGCATTCTAGGAAGTAAATCAAGATTTGGGAGGTAGCAAGAATGGGCAGAGCAGGATTGCTTTAGACCACTAATTACAGCAAAATTGGATGAACAAGGGATACCAAAGAAAACCAAAGAAGAATTTAAGGAGTGAAATCATGTAGACAGAATAAAAGGGCTGCATGGTGATATTGCAATAATTTTACCTTTCAGGCTTTCAGTATTAGTTAGAAAATTGAGTAGTACAGTTCAGTAATATTCAGCTTTGGAATCAGTAGTCTTTTGAGAAGACCTTTTCAAAAAGTATTGCCTATTAGTTCACTGACTTTAACACGATATCCCAACTCTGCTGTTTAGACCCATCTGTTCATTCTGATGAACAGGATCCTGTTCTTCTACACACGAGTCTTGCTCTAATAGCACTATGCGAAAAAGAATATGTTTTTGCTGCTTCTCAAAGCAGCAAAAGCACTGATTTTATATAAACCAGTAGCAACAGAACTGTCAAAACAAAGCTGCGGAGGGCTGAGAGAGACTAATAATGCATATTTGCATGTCTCCTCTGTAATTATAATTAGAGAGTATCTAGGATTCTTTGAGATACAAAAAAAAAATGCAATCAGGCAAAGTACTTCTGATTAGCATTTAAACTTCTCCCTCCTCCCCACTTCTCCTGCTGAAAATTAAACCTCCTGAAACAGCACAGATCCAGTTCAAGGTGATATAGTACCTCAACTTGGAAAATTAGTCAATCTGCGTCAGTGCCCCAAGATAAAGTACATGTACAGTATAAAAGTGGGCTGACTCAGTATGACCAGCTGCTTTGCTTTGATTTACAAGGTCTTCTCTGCATGCACAGAATGTGTGCAGAAGTCATTAAAATATCCACTTTGATTTGGCAATCTGCTTTGATAGTGTTATCTGAAGTTTTACCAAATCACTCTACTGAAGATCTGTCCAGCCATACTGAATATGTTGATAATTATTCAAGCCTCAAGCTATTTCAGATTGTATTATGAGTTTGCATTTTGGTGGAATGTGGGTTTCTGATTACTTTTCTTTTTTTCCGAAAAGAATCTTTTGTTTTTTTACAAAAATCAAAGGCTGGCTGGATTCATTTGACTTTGTCAAATGAGCCTCATTAAGCTCATAGCTATTTACTACCAGATAAGGAGACTGTACTGTAAATTACCTGATTTTCTTTTAAGTTTTAAGTGGCTATATATTTAAGAGTAAAAAAAAAAGTTTGAGTTGAGCTAGATTCCTGATAACTTCATGAACACTTCTATGCAGTTTTCTTGACAACAGTATGGTTTGCCATTGCCACCTTCTCAGATATTTTTGATTTTTCAGTCCTGGGTTGTCCTGGTTCTCCCATTCTGAGTTTTCCCATCCAAGTACTAACCAGATCCAACTCTACGTAATTTTTTAAGGTCAGCTAAGATTAGTTAGATACTTGGATTCCAAAAACATTTGGTAAAAAATGTTGATCTATGCTGTGTTTCTTAGATTTGTTCTTTAGATAATAGAATTAAATATTTCTTCATTTTTATCCATCTTTTTCTATAGAGCTGAAGATGGATAAAAGTGATTTTCATGGCTGCCTCACCCTGTCCTACTCTCACAAAAGCTTCTAGGTAGGTTCAGCCAAGAAAGCATAGCTGGTTGAAGAACACCCTATCAGCTTCGTAGCAGAATGAGGATATGAGCTAAATCTTCTCAGTGGCATCTAAGATTCTAATCAGCATGTCACACTTCTTCTCTTTATATCTGATGAAACAGTAGCTACCTCAAACAGCTCATATCAGACACTTATTAAAAAAATACAGATGAGGATAATCAATATCTAGAATGTCCAGATTCTATGAATTAGATGAGTATAATACTCTGAAACTTTCAGAATTGATTAGATAAATTACCTTGCATTCATCTTTCCTGACTTTGTCAGGAAATAGCATGGTCTGTTCAAAATACACGGGGAATCTCAGAACTAAATAATCTCAGCTTTTCTCTGTTGTGTGTTGTCAGGCCCATTCTAAGAGTCTGATCTGTGATAGTCCTGTTGCACAATCATCATAGCTGAGCATCATTCTAATCATTTGATATACTTTTCCTCATTGTGATCTTCTGATGCTCAGAAAAGAGGGAGCTGAAGATGAATTGTCCTTCAGAAAGAAATTTGAGATATTGTGAATAATTGAATGTGATGGTTGGAACTCAGGAAGTTGCTTTTGATTAGATATTTGCCAGGCTGAAGAGAGAAATAATGATTGGTAGGAGGAGTCACAGTGATGTCATAAAAGTTTCCTTGGAGTCAGGAAACTTCACCACAATTTGCATTAGTTCCTGAATAATTAAGATTATGTAGGGGAGAATTTGTAGGCTTTCAGAGACCAAAGATCCTCATTATGAACCCTGCAGCTATTAAAATTTAGAGGAAAAATATCTTAATGAAAATGAGCTATGAATAAATAGGAGAGTCTCATGTGTGGCATCCTTAATGTATAATGGTCACTTTGAAGATAGCAAATATTGGTACAAGCCAGCATGCTTGCACTAGTCTCTTAGTGTATGATTGAAGCTGACAGGCAGTACAGCAGAA